ATTGAGAAAAAAATACATTGAAATGGGTCATTTTTAATATGATATGGTCGTTGTTTATTGGTATTTGAAAGAAACTTAGTGGACTTATTTTAATGAACCTTAATTTTATTTAACATTGAAATATAGATGGGGGTTGTGGCGTATAATGTTACAATCTTTTACTTGGTGATTTGAGGTACGGTGGTCGGCCGGCTGCAATACTTCTTCACCTCCATTTGTCCCGTGGGGTCTCGGTGTTTGCTCCTCATTGCCTATTCCATGTAGAAAAGAGTATGAATGTAGTCTTGAAGAGGGAGAGAAGTGTCCCTTCTTACTCGTGCAGTAGCCCATTTTTTTCTTAAGACTACTAGTTTTGGGTGAATTACAGCGCCCGTCGCTGCAGTGTTACATACTTCGCTCGTCTTTTTACATGTAGCCCAGAAGGGAGAGGGGATATAACCTCAATTTAGGGTGATCAACCCTAACATTACTTTTGCTCATTAAGGGGCATTTGAGTATTTATGATGAATGAAGTACATCATACCATATATTACAATTAAAGAACAACTCAAGATTATAAGAAATTAAAAGAAAATAAATATTGGAGTAAACAGATAAATCAAGCAGATACAAATTAGATACAAACTAAAATGATAAAAAAATAAATAAATTATTATAATAAATAAAAATACATTCAACTTATTTACATATTTACAGTCTGGTCGAGGAGCTCCGAGTCGGGCTTTTTCCGCCACGGTGGAGGACATGGCAAGACTCCAAGAGATCCCAGCGCTTCTCTCTCAGCCGCATCACTAGGACCCACCTTCTAAGGTTTTTAATAGAATTGTTATACAAGAATGGAACGCCAAGAAACTACACGACGTTTCTGCCTCCTTCAGCACTAACTTGACAAAAGATCTTAAGGTTCCAATTAATAACGCGACAGAATTGATCTTTGTAGATCCTGCAAACCATTGAATTTCTCTTGTATTAAGTCATTGCAATCCTAAATTCTTCGTAAATTCCTATTGAGGATATAGCATTAGTTCCTTATTTTGTCACCGATAAAATGGTTCATAAACATCTTAATATTCCATGTATTCATATCGCCGATTTGGCTCGATCCTATGTGTTAAAATAAACAAAACAGAAAAGGGTGAAAGAGGGAGAAAAAAGTAAGTGAAAGTAAACAAATCTTGTGCCCGCATCAAACAAGATTTACTTTCCCCATTACTTTTAACATGAATTATTATCTTACAATATTGAGCTATTGCCTAAAAAATTTTTATTAGTAATGTTAAAGTGTATTGAATGTTTTACGCTGATCTTCCACCAGCCTGTTTCCATTGCTTTATTTTACAAAGAAATCGTTCTGAAATCTTTTCTTTTATAATTTTCAGGAAAAAGAATCTAATTCAATTGGTGCTTTTGTTTTGTTTTTTGTTTGTCAAGATATGTTTTTATTTTCTGGAATTGGTAGGAAAGTCGTGTGAGTGGACACAATAAGTTTTTAATATACCATTTGTATTTGACTTTGTTTCTTCTTTCTTCTTTACTGTTACAGGGAACCAGGCTGAATTAAATGGTCTCCGTTCTCAAATACTGTCCGGATGCCTATTTTTTCTCTTCTTTTATTTTTTAAACAAACGTAGAAAAGACAGGTCGGTAAACTGAAACTGAGGACTGGGTATAAAAGGCTAGGAAGTGCATTGAAGCCTTCTTCCCTCCTCGGAAGGAAATGGATCCTCCGTTCGGAAATAGAAACGAGCCCCGGACGGGGTATCGACTTGCTCCGGTGCCCTCTGGGATAGTTCTATTCCCCGGCCCCAACTGAATTATTCACAAAAAGAGTTACAAGAGGAGTGCCGGCTTCGGGTTCGATCCCCTCCTGACACATGTAAATCTAATTTACACCGCCTTGTTAGGCCATTCCCAAGGTCCTTCAGTTCCTCCAGTCTAGAGTACTACGGCAGGTTATTGAAAAACGCTGAAAATATCTAGGAGAGATGGTTTTTTTTACATCAAACCGAAAATAAGATTTTTTTTTTAAATCTTGTTTTTAATTTGAAGGAAAAACTCTATATTGTTATATTATTATATAATTGTTTATTTTTTCAAAAAGACGTACATTAAAACTATTGGAGTAGTACGTACATTCAGTGGAGGCGAAATTTAAAGCGCTGAAACGTTTATTCTGTGTTTTTTTTTTTCATAGGAAACTCATTTACAACCTACAGAGCCATTAATAGAATGTTTTTGCAGTTTTTAAAGAATAATTTTTGACCGTGATAACGACCGTGATACCGCTTAACAAAATTGTAATGTATTCCTTATATTATTCCTTATAGTATTCCTTCAACGCACAATGTCAGGTTCTGTAATGTCCTTGAGAGTACATTTTCGCTTCCATGTACTGTTTAGGTAGATGTATATGAAAAAAAATACATCGAAAAAATCTGGCTTTAAAAAGTTTTCTCTTGGTGGCCCGTGTTAGAAATTTTGTTTTTAATATGTTAAACCCCATTTATGCAAATTAAAAAATAAAAGCTTTTCTTACACTTGTTTCACAATAAATTTAAGAAAAGACTATTTCTCCTATTTCGTATCATTTTACCTTATTTATTCAATTATTTCATTACTTTTATATATTCATATTCATATATTGTTAGTTATATTATATATTTTTTATATATCCTTCTACTTTATTCATTATTTTTATATAGTTATATTCATATCATCTTTAGATTATTGTTTTCATACATATTTTATGTTATTTAAATTGATCAAATAGCCTTTGTATGTAATGGGGTAACCTAAAATTGAGAAAGGAAGGAGATAAAGAAGAGGAGAGGATGACTCGCAGGAGGCAGTTGGTAATACTCTCCTACAGAATGATAGAAGAGTATATGAAAGAAAAATGTCCTATAGTAAAGGCTGAGGACATTCAGGATAGATCAAGGGACTATCTGTCTAGGAAAAAACTGTTCAAAGAGTTACAGAATCCCCAATTCCCAGAATTCCCAAATTAGGGAATTAATGAATATAATTGTTGGAATTGAGGCTGTTGTCCAATTCATTAAGGACTATATGAAGATTGGTGAGCGGGCAACTCCAGATGAAGATAACTACGAAGAGGAAACAGGCGGGACCAAAGAACGCCCAACGGTTATTTTGGTGGAAGGAAGGGCAGCCAGAGAGGTAGTCATGACGCCAATGACTATGCGGATAAATAATGAAGTCCCGAACAGCTGGGGCAGAAACGTGGAGGGACCAACGAATGATGTAGAGAAAGAAATCCAATGGAACTTTGTCAAAGAAAGGCGCCAAAAGCACAAGGAAGGGAAAAATCATAAGAAAGAGAAGGAAAATAAACTGACATTTGTCAGCGTCCTGGCCAGCTTGCCCGTCTCCCAGAAGAGTCGAGAAAATACGAGCACCTTTATCACGCTTAAGGGAGTGACGGAGGGGTGGACGACGGCGGAACTCCACAAGCGGCTGCCATCCGAGGAAGAGCTTAATGGGATTGGCGTCAGCGTCATGGTAATAAGAACGATAAAGGGCGGAAAAGGGGTCCTAGTTAGGACGGAGGGGGTGGTTCATGGCAAGAAAAAAGGAAATAAGCCCGATGTGGGTTCTCGAGGTACACCCAATCATTAGAACTGCTCTGCTGAACATTCCAAGGGCCGATCTTGATGGAGGTTGGTGGAGCCTGACCATCAGGGACTACCTGGATTTCTTGCTCTACCTGAGGTGCCAGGACTACGGCAACCCCTCGAAGTCCTGCAGGAAGGAGTTGGCGTGCAGATGGTGCACGGCATCCGAGTACAAGGCCAGAGAATGTCCAGAAAGGTAGAACAAAGTAGCACCATGATGCCAGAACTGGCGGAAGGTAGGGGGAGGATCTCCAGCACTGTGCAGGCTGCAGGAAGTGACCGATACACCTGGGGATGATGGTCAGACTGGCAAAGCAAACTAATGATGGCTAAGATCTATATTTTCCAGCTCAACATGGGCCGAAGACGAACTGAGAGCTCTTGCTCGAGAAATCATCATGGTTATCATGAGGCGGTGTAGGTGCTGGCGAGATCGATTCACCTGGAACTAATCCTCAAGGAGGATACAATCAAATTCCATTTCAAGAGACAGGGGCTGACCACGCTACTGTAGGGGGTCCGTGAGAGAATCCAAGCTATTGGAAAAGGATTATCAGTGAAGAGTCCATTGAAGAGTTTAACAGACAGTGGGTTAAAAGCCCGGAAGGGTTTACCCTCAGGAAGTTATTCCCAACCATTCAGGCAAGATCCCTGATTACTGGATCTCACGGGTTTTCACAGGACATGGAGGGTTCCGAAAAAAACTGGCGACCCATGGAAAGGAGTTGGCGTGCAAATGGTGCACGGCGTCCTGGTACAAGGCTAAAGAAAGCCCAGAAAGGCAGAACAAAGTAGCACCATGCAGCCGGTGCTCTTCATCGAGTCCCACTAACAACGAGCCTCGGTTCCCTTCCTACGGTGTCCCTGACACAGCAGAACATATATCGGTATTCTGCACCGCGAAGGAGGAATACCGTGCAAAATTGATGAGAGGGATTGGCAGGTACACCCGGACAGAGGAAGATCTTCCAGCTTGATGTAGAAGAAAACTACCCGTTTCTTCTGGAGTTTTTGCACTGGTGGAGGGATGTGAGGCCCCTGCTCATTTCTCCCTCAGAGCAGCGAGAGTTCCACCACCTGAGGAGGCGGAAAAAGAGGAAGGACTTTGAGGAAGGACTGGACGGATGCCGTGCGGCCCCATCACTAAAGTGCACACCCGTGTACCGATCCTCACCACAGTTAACCCAGTGGTTTACTTATTATTCAAAAAAAAGTTTCAAATTATGGCCACATGAGTTCAACTTCATCCCGTAGTCTTCTTTTCGGTGGGTTATATTCTTTAATGATATAAACTGCTTAGTTTAAACATTCAAATGATTGATTTTCTAATTATAAAATATTGTAGTTTAAAAATAAACAACAAGAACTGAGAGATCACTGAAAATTTTATTGGTAGACTAATACACAAATACACGAAATAAAAGAAATCTTCACATCATTTCATCTTCCGTCACATCCTCACTATCGGACTGATTCGTGGTTTCTTGATACTGTTGGTACTCAGATATAAGGTCGTTTAAAAAGTTCTCGGCTTCAGTAAACTCGGCAACATCCATTCCTTCCCCTGTGTACCAATGGAGGAAAGCTTTTTTCTTGAACATCGACAAGAACTGGCCGGATACCCTGTTGAACAGTTCCATTATAGCAGTCGTGTTGCCTATGAAAGTTGCTGCAATCTTCGTACCCCTTGGGGGGATGTCGCATACAGCTGTTTTGCAGTTATTCGGTATCCACTCGACAAAGCAGGACGAACTCTTGTTCTGGACTTTGAGCATCTGTTCATCAACCTCTTTCATAGACATCCTTCCCCTGAAGATAGCAGCGACGGTGAGGTAGCGGCCATTGCGAGGGTCGCATGCCACCATCATGTTCTTGTTGTCGAACATTTGCTGCACCAGTTCAGGAACTGTCAAAGCTCTGTACTGCTGAGAGCCTCTGAAAAAATAAATTAATTAATAAAACTGTGTATTGAATAGTATCATTATTATAATTATATAAAGACAAAAATCTTTGTGTTCCTTATTTGTCATGTTGGGTTGTCCGACAAGTCTCAAGTCTTTCATTTTTTGTCTCCATAAACCATTTTGTCTTTCAGGGGTCTGGCATTTTGTATACAAGTTCCAAGCATCTGAGTTGATGCTCCTCAATTTGTTCTTTCATAGAGACTATGCCTAATTTGTTTTAATGATTTCATTACGTATCAATCCCTCTTTTCTTTTCTGTATTATTCTGAGGTTTATAGAACTAAACGCTGAAGTCAATTGTTTATTTTAATTTTATAAATTTATAATAATGAATTATCTATCTATTTTACTTATTTCATATCGTATTTATTTCATTCTCGTGGGCGTTAATATCTTCTACTATCGTATTTATTGATTTAATAGTCAACATTACCTGGCAACTAATGGTGCGTATCCTGGCATGAAGAAGTGAAGCCTTGGGAACGGTACCATATTGACCGCCAATTTCCTCAGGTCGGAGTTGAGCTGGCCTGGAAACCTGAGGCAGGTGGTGATCCCGGACATGGTCACCGAGACCAGATGGTTCAAGTCGCCGTAGGTCGGTGTGGTCAGCTTCAGCGTCCTGTTACAGATGTCGTAGAGCGCTTCGTTGTCTATGCAGAAGGTCTCGTCCGTGTTGTCGACGAGGCGGTGGATGGACAGCGTGGCGTTGTATGGCTCCACGACAGTGTCCGACACCTTGGGGGAGGGTACCACAGAGAAGGTGTTCATGATCCTGTCCGGGTACTCCTCCCTGATCTTACCCATCAGAAGCGTTCCCATCCCGGAACCGGTACCACCACCCAGCGAATGTGTCAGTTGGAACCTGCAAAGGAGTTGTAGAAAAGTAATTTTTAGCATTCGTGTAATAAACACGTTATCTTTATTGAGAATTTCTTTTCTTTTTTTTAAATTTTGTTTATTGAACAATAATATAATCTGCAGCATTAATGGGCAGCAAGTATTAAGGCTACTAGTGTTCATCCGTACTATATATACATACAAGAGAGAAATAAATATAAATATTCATAATAGTAATATAAATGTAAAACAATAAGTAAAATATGAAATAAATAAAAAAAATAATAGCTTGAGTTGAGTAATAATAAAGTAAATTTTCTTAAACACATTCCTGTTTATGTACAACATTTACATTCGCCCAGGAAACATGCAAAAAAGGAAATTACTTTTTTTCTCGTCAAGCTGTGTCACTGGTATTGAAAGCCAGACAGAAAGTAAACACTAGAACCACAGAAGATCAGGACTTGATTGGAGAAGGTGTCCATTGCCAGGGCACCAAAAGCATATTTACAAGAGATCAGGGGCCACTGTAGTTTTAACCGTCGAAGAGGATGCTAAGAATGGTCGGTGTTGGATAGGAATTGATGCAAAGGATTTGGATGATGAATAAGATTCTGGTGAATGTTTATATACCTTGAAGAAATGATACGAAGAAATGTCATGTCGAGATCACGGTGTGAGGTCTAGTTTGTGACAATGTGGAGCATTGATTATTGTTGTAAGTACTTTAGACTGATAGGATTGGAAACTTTTAATATTCAAATACTATCTCTATTAGTAACAAGAAAATTACATTTCAATCTAAAACAAACATTACATGCAAGCAGCTATTAAATTAAAATTTATTAATTTGAGTATCGGATTACTTTTACCTTGAAATTATTATAACTTATAACAACCCTGAACATCTTGAAGGCACTTCATTGAATTAAAAGACTGCAAGGATATTGCCTGACACCTGTAAAGAAAAGTAATCAAAATATCTTCAAGATTCAGCTGAATCTTGAAGATATTTTCATTACTTTCTAACTGAGAAGGTGAAGAATAACCACATACCTTAATATAGGGATGCCCATACCCCCCAAGATCGATGGCGCATGAATTCTCCTCCCCCCTTCTTTCAAGATATGTTATTCCTCTCCTCTTCTTAAAAACAGAGCAAGTTAATGTAGAATTTTAAAAATCATAATAATATACAATTGTAATGGCAATTGTGTTATTACAATTTCAGTAGTCTGTTCTATGATTTCTTATTGTTACCTAGTTTGAAATTTTTAATTTCGAAAATACAAAACTCCACCGAAATGTGTCCTTTTTCTCGTAAATTCGAAACTCACCTCGCACTCTAAACTCACCTGTGCCCTACGTTATTCGTCTCTCAGCAAAACGCAGGACTCATAACAAAAGTCCAGATTTGTATTCGTAATTATATTTCGTAAAAATCATTACTACTTTTTTATGTTTGCTTTTTTACTTGTTTACTGCTCAAGATGTTCTAAATATTTTACCAAATTTTTATCCTACATATTTTGTCAAAATTGTATTATACATATTTGGTCAACATTTTATTATTCTGCATATTTAGTCTTCTTGAGCATAAATAATGCATATTTATAAGTTGTTTTTATTATTAAAATATATGTTAATTTTATAAAAATTAATATTTGATATAATGTTAACCAAATATATTGATTCTATCAAGTATACTTCAAATGATAAAATTATTTGTAAACTTGTCATTAATAAATTCTGGCTTCGAAGTGCCTGTGAGAACAGTTATATTTTAGTTGAATAATGATCAGGGAAGTACTTCACGGAATTGGAATTGTTAACAATTTGCCTTACTTGCAGGTACAAGTAGCCTAAAAGCAAAGACTTTTTTCTTTCTTTGAAACTAAACAATTATGTCGCGTTTAACATGGGTGATTTTTTTCTAAAGGAAAGTCGTGTTGGGCATGTTAAAGTAGGCATTTTAATTGGCATTGAAAAACACCTGGCATGAATTTCCTATGATTCTTCTCACCATTTTATTATTTTTGAAATATCCCAATAACTGTCGACGTGTGTGGCACCTATGCTCAGGTTTATATTTCTAAACTGTAAAAAAACAATATAAACAGTTTTCTTTTGCAAATTTTCTTGATTTACTACTTTTAATTATGTAAATGTTAATTAAGTTTAAAAATTAAAACTATTAAATAAGAATTAGTGTTTTTTAAAATCTTATTTTGAATGATAATTGTGGATTGATGGTTGACTGTAGTGAATAGTGAAGATAAGGATAGTTGGGGTGATCAGCCAAAAATAAAAATGGCAAAAATAAATAATAATATTTATTTTAACGTTTGCCGACGTTTCGACCCGAAGTTCAGGCCTTCATCAGGGCTGATCGCTATTGATCGATGAGATAGCTATTGATAGAATGATAATAGAATAATAGTCTATCAATAGCGATCAGCCCTGATGAAGGCCTGAACTTCGGATCAAAACGTCGGCAAATGTTAAAATAAATATTATTATTTATTTTTGACTGATCACCCCAACTGTCCTTCTCTTCCTAATTTTGAATGGTTCATTTCATTTAAAAATGATGCAGAAAATAATAAAAATAAAATGATAATAATATTATAAATAAAAATATATATTAATGGAATAAATAAAGAGAATAATAAGAATAAATACTTTTTGCACATTCAACACTTGTATAAAATATTATTTATATCAAAAATGCACTTACAAGACTTTTTTACATATTCTAATTTGTTCAGAAAATTATTCTACTCAAAGTAGAGTGGTAACTGAAAATTGTGTGATGGGTGCACTTGATTTTCTTTTAACATTGCGTGAGTCATGAAAAATGTATAGGATGACCTCTCTGCCTTATCTTAATCTGGGTTAGTTGGCTTTAACTATATCAGTTGCAGTGGAAGATTGGACTATATTCCGTTATTAAAGGACTTGATGAAGAAAATAAACACTCACCCTTGCAGGCAGTCGCAGGATTCGGCCTCCTTCCTCACCACATCGAGGATGGGATCGATTAGATCGGCACCCTCGGTGTAGTGGCCCTTGGCCCAGTTGTTGCCCGCTCCGGACTGCCCGAAGACGAAGTTGTCTGGTCTGAAGAGCATGCCGAAGGAACCCGACCTCACCGAGTCCATCGTCCCGGGCTCCAGGTCCACCAGGATCGCCCGCGGGACGTAAACTCCAGTCGAAGCGGCGTTGTAGTAGACCGAGATCCTCTCCAGGAGGATGTCTGAGTCCCCGATGTAAGCGCCTGTTTTATCGATTCCATGCTCGTCAGAGATGACTTCCCAAAACTTCGCCCCTATCTGGTTGCCGCACTGGCCTGCTTGGATGTGGCAGATTTCTCTCATTTTGACATCTAAAGATTTAAAAAAAAAATATTACATTTATAATATTACGTATTGTATGGATTAGTTACTTAAGATCTAAAGACTACATACCTTAGAGTTATTAATACTCAGTGTTTACTGCCGGGCGACCCTGAGTACCGACACGAATAAGGGTGCCAGCTACTTGTTAGGAATAAAAGTTAGTTAATGTTGGTTACATATTAATAAAACCTGTACTAATATTGAGTTATCTAATAATCATACTTGTATTATTATTAGATAACAATTAAATTATTTTTAAAAAAATATTCATATCCTCAGCTTATTTTAATATATTATATTTTCATAAAAGGCATTATATTCCATTAATTTTTTTTTTTATTAATCTCTCACCTTAATTCTTCATATTTATTTATTTATATCTCTTAATATTCTACTCTTCTTTTTTATGTTTTCCTCTACTTTCTTACCTAGTTAAATAAGTATAAGGAAGGTGCTTAATAAGGAGGTACTTTTAGTCAAAGACCTTCGGCTCTTTTCTACATTAAGCACACCAGTGAATTTTCGAAGTGATTTTGCATTAAAAATCTCAGGAACTAAAATTCGGACCTGCATATTGTAAGCAAAGAAAATGTTCAGCATTTCATCCTCATTGTAATTAGCTGTTATTCAAAATTGTACCTTAACGTAACGTCGGGTTTGAGATGCGAAAAGGGAAAAAGAGCGTCACTGGTGTGCTTAACTTAGAAAAGAGCCCAAATCTTTCTAAATTAATTTTGTTTGATTAAAAATTATACTGCTGTTTACATTTAATATACATTTCTAGTTTTCTACTCTTAGTCGGCAAAGAAAATTATTGTAATGGGGTCATATTTCATGGCGTAGTTTTAAATGGGTCTATGCAAGTTAGCTTTCTAAATTTGTCTACAAAATGATTTGATAGTCAATCATACGAAATTTAATTAGCAACAAAAGATATAGAGTATCGAAGTTTGTTAACATATTTTTTAAAGTAGTCTCATATATTCCCATACAAACCCTAGTGTTTTTGTTTAGTTTAAATAACTATTTTCTGTAGAATTTTTCATGTTCATTTGAAAAATAGATGATTGCATTGTCTAATGTATTTGAGAGAAAAACAATTCTAACCGAATCAATAGTGACTAGCCAAAATATTTTTGTACTAGACACTAGGCAATAAATGTTTAGGTAAACGATATGAGTAGATGTACCAAACATTTTTGATAATTATTTATAAATTATGTTTGTATTTGTATTGTGAATCGACAGATGGATTATCGAGGTCACACAATATCACTCAAAACGAAACGTTTAAGCGTCCCACACATTTTCCAAAACGGCACTGTTCTGCCAAAACCGGAAAGTCTGTTCCCATTATTTATTTCATATTTATGATTAATTATAAAGGGGAGAATTTTCGATTTCATAGATTGACTTTCATGGATATATTTTAATTCCACAGCGGACTTACCTAATAAATTAAAGATTAAATTTTAAGGCAGGATAGATTAATTAATATTAATCTTAGTTATTAATTAATTAATAATTTGAGGTGTAATCCTTCGTTTCTACGAATACATAAGGATTTAAACTTAAGGACGATAAATTCTAATAAACAACTGAGCTATAATTAAGCTAAAAATAATCTCATTTTTATTTAATGATAATAGAATCGATACGTAGTATATATTACTATCGATTTAAACATATAGTTTTTTTTTTTTTTTTAAATTGAAACCTTGCGGATCAAGGTTATGACCGAACTATTAATATAACTTCCAAAACATGAGCTTGTTAAAGTATGTTTGCTTTCAGGACATCCATTCATTGTGAGTAATACTGATCAGTTAATCCTAACCTTACAGATCAATATTTAAGGACTATTATTAATGACAATAATTTTACAACAAATTTTTAGTTTCAGTCGAAAGATTTATTGGTTTGGTGCTCTCGTTCAATCTCCGCTGGCTTTAGTACCAGTGATGCGGTTGAGAGAGTAGCGCAGGGTTCTCCTGGACTTTCCTCGCCTGATTTTATATAGGTATGCATGTGTTTTTTTTGCTTAGTTTTAATTTTCTTATTTTTTAGGTTATTTTATTTTATTATCTATTGTATATACTTTTATTATTTTGCTTCTATTTATTTTATATTTTTTTGTACATATAGTGTGAATGTCATCCTACCTCACTATAACCAATGTCCAAGAGACAGATTGTTGTAATACTCAATAAATAAAATAATAAAAAAAAAAGTTTCAGTCGAAATTTGTCTTGTTGATTTAAGATTGGTTAGGATATCGATGCATAGATAATCCATCTTAATATATTTCTCTTTCTAACAGTAAAATAAATAATAATAGAAAATTTGTTACGCAGTTTAACCTATTAATGAGGTTTTCTCTCGGATGTTTATTTAGTTTATTTGAATGTTTAATTTCAAATAAGAATTACACATAAGAAGATGAAATGGTAAATAAATTTGAATGAGGGATTCGTGGAACTGATTTTATTATACTAACTTTTCCTTATTCGAAGGCTTATTTAAAAGTATCTGAAATAGTCAAGTTTTGATATTTATCATTTATCAAATGTATTATGATGACAGGCGGTGATTAGTATTAATAAAGTAACTAATTTATAGAAATACTTACTAATTTTTTTAAAATTTTGATTTGCCGAAAAAAATCTTGAAACCTTCCAACTTGATAATTTACTTTAATGTGATTTAACAGCTGCTAAGTGTTTTTAGAATTCCCTATTTATAAAATCCCTCAAATATTTTTTTTTTATAAATATAAATTACAAATATTCAATCAATAAATTTTATTATATTCTAAAATTTCTACTACCGAGGTATAATAGGATTAATGCTATTGACTTATGAAACTTGTGAAGTCAACTATAGAAAGTTGATCGTGTTCTTTTTGACAACCACTGAAGGGATGCCAGTGGATGCTGTTGCTTACTAACCAGATAATCAAAATTCGTAGTCTATACCAGAGTGACCTCAACGTAATCTTGATTTTATTAATCTATGCGTTTTATCTTTATTGTGAGGGAATATTATAATGCTCAATAAAATTGTGTGAGGTCCCAAAATTCTTCAATGCGAGCAAAAACTAGTCGCGATCCAGTTTGCAGACTTTGTTAATCCTCTTTAAAGTTCCTTGTTTACAAATATAATCAAACCATTCACTTCTTTTTTGTGAAAATTTCTTTAGGCTCGTTTGGCACTTTTCTTTATGGAGAGTGAATTAGATTGATCCGTGAGATCTCCGATGCGTAACGCTCGGGTAAAATCGGCTAAAGTCGATTGATCGAAATGTTTTTGAATATGGATTAAAATATCTCAAAAACTAAAAATCCGACCTACATATCAGTAGTAAGAGAAATGATGTTCATTATTTTATTCTCTTTGTAATAAGCTATTATTTAAAATTTTATCTTAACGCAACGCCATGTAAGACAGGCGAAAAAGGAAAAAAATGTTATCGAAAACCAAATGGTAACCAGTTTTATTGAAGATATGGATTAAAATATCTCAAGAACTAAAAATCCGACCTGCATATCATTAGTAAGGGAAATGATGTTCATTATTTTATCCTTTTTGTAATGAGTTATTATTTAAATTTTTTTCTTAACGCAACGCCATGTAAGACAGGCGAAAAAGGAAAAAAATGTTATCGAAAACCAAATGGTAACCAGTTTTATTGAAGAAATGGATTAAAATATGTCAGAAACCAAAAAATCGGATCTGCATTATGTAAGCAAAGGAATTGTTCAGCATTTCATTCTCATAGTAATGGGCTATTATTCAAAATTGTATATTAAAGCGACGTTGTGTTAGGGAGGAGGAAATAAAAAAATAGTGTCAAAAACCAAATATCAAGTTCTTTGAAGATATGGATTAAAATATCTCAGAAACTAAAAATCGGACCTGTATACTGTAAGCGAAGGAATAGTTAGGAATAGTCCTCGTTATAATGAGTTATTATTTATAATTTATATTTCATATTATTATTCTCTATTTGTTGATGTTTCCACTTGTATTGTGTGGTCTAAAGTACACACCTTAGTGTTTTTAAATTCTGGTGGAAATGTTTAATGGACAGTTGTTTTAGTGATATAGAAATAAGTCTTTTGTATAATAGTGGGTACTTATGATATTATAATGTGGTTTTTGACTTTTTTGTTCCCTTGTCCTGTTTTTACTGATTTTTATTAGTCATCCATAATTATCTTTTAACTAAGCATTCTCATTAATCATTCGAAATTTTTTAGCCCATCTGGAGTACTTGAATAATTTTCATTGTTGAAACTTCTGGCTTAAAACCATCTGTGTGTAATTAGGATTTCCTAATTAAAACCAGGTTTTTTTTTAAAGATAATCTCTTCTCTCGTGCCCACTTTTTTTTCTGTATGTGTACTTTTCATTTTTGTTTTAATTTCCTCCCTAGATGACCCTAAGCCCAAGGTTTAATATTCGAAATTAATCCCGGCGCTCTTGCTTTTAAGCGTTTTCACAATCCTATTCGCAATCTTCATAATAGAATGCGGCGAATATTTTGTTCCCCTAAACCTATTACTGAGAGTATGGCAGCCATGTATCTCCAGTGGGCGGGACGACACGCTCTGGAATAAATATAACAGTCAAGAATTATGTGAGTCATCTTCGAAAATTTCATTAAATATTTATTTAAAAAAAAATATTAAAAACTAAATTTAGTCAAGCCATAGATTATCCAAGTTGTTCTATAAGAATGTCAAGCTTAATAATGTTTTTTTGGTTTATTATTTTCAATAATGAACCATTGTGATCGACCAAAAAATTCAAAAACTGAACCCCCTCTCAAAATATGAGGTTTCACGTTTCAGAATAAGGAGAATTCGAAAAACGAATACAAATTTTTTTGTCCGTCCGCCGTCCGCGTATTTTCTCCGAAACGACTGGACCAATTTTTTTTTAAATTTAAAAATCAGAGGTTACCCGAGGATGATCCTCCTCCATCGATATTACTATCCGCCTTTTACTTTTAAAATGGCGGGCGAAAAACCTGCTTTGCTATATACTGTAACGCCTAAACGAATGTACCGATTTCAATGAAACTTCGCTAAAGTCATTTTCTTGACACCCTTTAAATTTATCTATATAACATAATTCAACGAAAAGAATCTGGAATATAAGTTACAAGGGATGGTAAAATTAAATTCTAAAAGTATAGACTTTTTTGTCGATATTGTATATCGTTTTTAAAAGTAAAAATTTCCTAAAAAACAATCGTTATAATTGGACAATTAGTAGCAAAGATATGTTCTATAGTTTTTTCTAATAGGTTATACTGTAAAGGTTATTTCCTTTGATTTGGTTTTTGAATTTATTATGTGTTACTGAAGTGTTGCTTTTTTTTTTTTAGCTGTTAACCCCTCTGAGGTCAAATTCCTTATAAACAAATTAATACCCCGAAAATCCCCTGGATATGATCTCCTCACTTCACAAATCCTCAACAACTTCCCAAAAAAGCAATCATATTCCTTACCTATCTATACAACTGCATCCTTCGTACCACGAACTTTCCTTTGGTGTGGAAACACTCCATAATCATCCTGTTTCCAAAACCAGGTAAACCTGTTAATAACACATCATCCTATAGACCGATAAGCTTACTCCCGATCCTCCGATCCTCTCAAAAATCTTTGAGAAAATCCTTCTGAAACGCATCCTACCCATAATCGAATCCCACAACATCCCTTCTCATCAGTTTGGATTCCGCTCAAGACATTCCACTGTCCAACAAGGCCTTCGTGTTGTGGACCATATATCCTCTGCACTTGAAAACAAGCATTATTGCACTGGTGCCTTTCTGTACGTAGCGCAAGCTTTCGACCGGGTGTGGCACGATGGCTTGCTTTTCAAGCTCAAAACCTATTTACCCCAATCCTTATACCTAGTCCTCAAATCCTATCTCTCAAATCGTTCCTTTCAAGTCCGTTGTGACGCCGAATTCTCCACTTACTATCCAGTTGAGGCTGGTGTTCCACAAGGCAGTGTCTTGGGCCCAGTTCTCTACATCCTTTTCACTTCCGATATCCCTTCAAATCCCCATACATTTCTAGCTACATTTGCTGATGATACCGCCATTCTATCCTCCCACTCAGATCCTCAAATAGCATCTCTAAACCTACAATATCACCTCTCCTTGATTGAGCAGTGGTGCAACGACTGGCGCATCAAAATCAATGAATCAAAATGCAAACATATCACTTTTACCCTGCGACGCAGATCCTGTCCGCTAATCCTTTTTAATTCAATTCCACTTCCCTACTCAGACACAGTCCGTTACCTTGGCTTCCTTCTTGACAAAAGACTAACTTGGAACCCACATACCAGACTTAAAAGACAAGAACTTAACCGACGATATGGCCAGCTGTATAAATTACTAAGTAGGACATCCCATCTTTCGATTGAAAATAAACTTTTAATGTACAAGACCATACTGAAACCTATCTGGACCTACGGACTTGAACTGTGGGGAACTGCTAAATATTCGAATATCAAACGCATCCAATCCTTCCAGTCCAAAGTACTCAGAACAATAGTTAATACCCCATATTATGTCACAAACAAGACCCTACACCATGACCTCAACATCCCATTTGTCTTCGACACCATCCCATCCAGATTCTCAAATTTTCACCAGAACCTTATCCATCATCCAAATCCTCTAGCTCAATCCCTATCCAGCTCCCTTCATCCCTAAAATCCTCCACGAAGGTTAAAACGGCAGTGGCCCAGAGATCTCTTGTAAATATGCTTCTGGAGTCCTGGCAATGGCCAGCATCTTCACTCATGTCCTGAGCGTCTGTGGCTCTAGTGCCCTCTTTCAGTCTCCACTGGCTTCTAATACTAGTGATGCGGCTGGAAAAGTGGCACTGGGATCTCCTGGAGTCTTGCTTTGCCTTCCACATGTGGGGGAAAAAGCCTGGCTCGGAGATTCCTGGGCGAATGTATATATTGTATATAGGTATGATTGTGTTTAGAAGTTTCTATTTTATGTTATTTGTTTACTTTTTTCTTTTATTTACTTTAATCATCGGTACTATTTATTTACTTTTTATATTTATATTTATTTCTCTATTATGTGTATATATTGTATGAATGATAACTCTTGGCCCTAATACTTATAGCCCTCCAGCAGTGGCTGATTGTTTTATTATCCAATAAATAGATTTAAAAAAAAAAAAATATTTTTAGCAAATTACAAATTTAGTTCAATGATTGGAATCACCTTTTATTAAATTTTCTTTATAACTAGGAAGGTAATGTTACTTTAGATGTATAATTGTTTGGAAATAATAAACCATTGTGAAATAATTTGCAGCGTTTTTTGTAATTCATCGATAGAACTATATATCCAATCAAATTTTCATAAATGGTTGAATAAAAAGGATAGTTCTGATTTTTTTAATATGTTGGATAATCCAAGTTTTCCTAAAAGTGTATTTTGAAAAGAAAAACTAAAATTTGCTGTTGTAGAAAACAAAATATATTTTTTTCTCCACATATCTTTTAAAGCATTGGTATGAAAAGAAATATATTTTTTACTGTCTTAAATTAACTAAATTCCAAGTTGTTATTCATGATGTATTTATAAATTTACTTCTCCTAAATCTGAAAAAAAAACGATGCATCTCAGTACGACGTGAAAGAATAAGTTTAGTCCTTAACTTAAGGCATTTATCTCTACT